TGAGAGAGTCAATGGCCATGCAGTGGGAGTGCTTTCAGCTAAATGCTGGTTAGTGGTTCAGTTGTAACATCATCCTTAGATATTGGATTCTTATATCACAGTACAGTATAAAATTGTACCATCAACATTAGATATTGGATTTTAATCATTTAAAATTTTCAACTATTATGAAGAGAAGGTAATCTGGATTCGCGTGCAATCACGATGTGCTCCGAAGCTCTTATTTTGTATTGAGTTATAAATCGACTGCACCCAATTTCTTTGCTGAACGCCCAAAAAATTCAAGATAATTAGATGATGGGAAGAAGCAAAGTAAATCTTATAAAAGGTTGAAGATGAAGCAGTGGTTGTGGCCCATTCATTTTTTGTACTCCTTTTATTTTTTTTCGGTCCCCGACTCGTGTTTATACCTTAGTCTGAGTCGCTGTCAGTGATAAGTAACCTTAATCGTAAATTTGGACGCCTAAAAATATTAAAATGTAAGATGTTTGGCTTTTGAAAAATATCCCAGAGTCTCAACAATCAGAGGATGAAAAATAAAGACACTAACTGAAACAGATAAAACTAGTTTTTTAAACAGGGTTCGGGTCACTTGTCCTCATCGATAAAAACTTCACATGATTAAATAAGCATTAGCAGCTTGATGACAGTTGCACCTTGCTTTAAATGAGTTACCTGGTCGATCTCTCCGCAGGGCCGCCCACTGTTCCTGCAGTCATCCAGAAATGTGTCCGTCAATATCGTCAACAGCAACAACAAGCTGCTCACACAGCTCGTCACAGGTAAGACTCGGCCGGAGAAACGCTGATTTTCATTGTTTTCATTAGAATTTGCAAAGATTCACAGGCAGCTGTTAAACTGGAGTAGACTTGGGTTCCTTTGATTCTTCTCCTCAGGTTTATTTATGAACTGGTGACGCCTTTTTGTCTTCTATTACTTGACCTTCATTTTGCCAGAAAGCTGTTTGGGATTAAAACTTGTCTTAGAAGAGAGATATGGCGAAGATAGCAGCCACGCAATGAGGCTCATTTAAGAATTGGACGAAATCTTTCAAAACCTCCGTCCATTCAATTTCTCTATTGCTATCCAATTCAGGTTGGAGTCCATCTGGGCCATGATAGGGTTAGGTGTGCTATATGCTGGACAGGTCGTCAGCCCATCACAAGGACAAGTTTGACATACTCTGCTCATGTCAGTGAAAGTGAAACCAGATAACAACCAGATACCTCTTTTTGACTGCTTTGGTCAGGTTTAGATTGCCACAGTCTCACATTGGTTGCAATAAAGACGCTAGCTCGTCTGCTATTAATAACGACTCACTAAGTGAAACTTTAAAAAGGCCAATACAAACTGTAAATGGAGACCGTTGACGTATAAAGCAAAATTGTTTGCAGACAATTCGGCATCTTCCATCCAAACTGCAGCCACAGCAGTCTGGTAACGACCAAAACAATCAGGAGGAGGTTTCTGGTTCAATCTGTGCAACCTTCAGCAACCAATCACCAGTCAGTCAGGGAGTAGACCTTTTTCCCTAGCAACTGGAAGTTGCCTGGGGGTCACCAACTGGAGGTCTTTAGGCCCATATGACTGCAACCTAATCCTGCTTCATACTACAGGCTTTAGTGTAAGCTCCATTACCCAACAAATAACTTCTAATAGCTTTTAAAATATTCACAGGAGATATTTCAAAGTCAATGAGTTTGATCACAGTGAATTTTTTCTGATAAGCTAAAATCATTCCATATTGCAAAGATTGAAGAATGTGACGGGAACATTTGTTTAGCATATGTTCTTCTACAGCATGTGAAATATTTTGCAACTCCCAAATTTCTTTCTGAGAACCGTTTCTAATCCCGACTCATGTTTGAAGCAGCAGCTCCTGCTATCAGAAGTCATCGCCTTATTTATAATTAAGCATTTACACGTCGTGATTTTATTTCTCCTCTGATCCTTTTAAGTATGCCAGCAGAGGTCTCAGTTTCGCCTCCATTACTCTGTGATTGTGCTTTCTTCTTTACATCTCTTCATTCGCCACCTGTCACGCTGATCGAGTTGACAGTTTTTGGTGAACTGAAATCACTCGGCGTAAACATGCTCGGGAGGCGTCTCTCTCACATTAAAAAGCAAGCTGACATTTGCCTCCCGAGTCTGAAGAGGAGGAAGATGAAGTCTGCTCGGATGCGTTGATGACTAAGCGGCGTCGGTGTACGGGGAGGAACTCCACACCCCAGATGGAGAGTGACAGAATCAATTGTGCGCGTGTCAATCAGTCAGCCTCTGCGTTGGGTGTCTTCTACCACCGCGTGAGACAAAGCAATTTGGGATTGGGTGGAGTTGTCTACATTTTCTTGTTTGTTGTGACACCAGTCAGAGTTTTGTCAGCTGGCGCATGAGGATCTTTCCGGCACACGTTCAGTGAAATGTGTCTGGTTTGCTCAACCACGTTGCAGAGAGGATCGCTTCCACCAACAGGTCACATCTGGATGGTTGGAATTCTAATTTCTAATTGGATCAGAACTGTTTCTGTTTCTAATTTATAAACTACGAATAGCAACAAAATTCCAAATAAAAGGAAAAGACAGTGACATTTAGTTGTTATGTGACTGTTGCCTTATTTTCATTCTTCCTGTCCTTCAAAGCCACTTCACATTGGCATTTACTCGTCTGCTTAATATGAATTAATGATCTGCAATTCCACTAATGGGATTAGGCGTTGGTGACCAAACAACAATATCACAAGGCACTGCGATTAAATATGACATCACACCTGTGGCCTCTTTAGCAAAGGGGATGTCTATCCCTCCTTTGACTCTGGTTACATTTGATCACAACACACAGTTAATCCGGTCTTTAAGTGATAAAAAAATGACTGTGTTTATTAAGGCTGTTGTGTTCTTAACATATATTATGTATGTATGTATGTTCTTAACACATATTAATGCTTTGTATCTTGTTCTATTTAATCTCAATAAGCCCCTAAAAACAGTCAGTGATCACTGTCGGCCTCTCTCGGTTTTTATTATCACTGTTCATTTTAAAGCTGTTTTTAAAACCTTACGATGTAACTACGGCCCAGCAGCAGTATATAAATGACTAACCTCGTATGATCTCAGTTGTTCTCCTGACTGAAGTTTGGTCCGTTTACAGCATCCTGCCATGCTTGTTTATTTGTTTATTTATAAGGAACCCCATTAGCTTCCACAACAGTGGTTGCTAGTCTTCCTGGGGCCCAAACCATCGAATACCACCAAATAAAATGTTACACAATGAGTTGGATGCAAAATGTCCACATAATTTGGCTCTTACATCCACAATAAGGTTTTACAATTCTGAAAATGTAAACATGTAAATATTAAAAATTATAAAAAAAAACCCCACTCAAACAAAATACACAATTTCCATTACAAGTGACATTACCCTCTTACAATTTTTACAAATAAATTAAAAACTGCTTAAATAGGCTTTTAGGTGATTTTTAAAATTATGAGTAGAAGCCAATTCTCTAATTGCATAAGGCAACTTATTCCACTGAAAAGATGCTCTAAATATAACAGTGTTTTTCAAAAAGTTACTTTTAACTCGAGGAGTTACTAAATTGTGGTTAATGAGAATCGTGTAGCATGATTATGTATTTCATCTGGATACTGCAACTGAGCATAAAAAAGTGTGGTGTGTTTACCAGTATTGCTTTCTTTAAAAATACAAGTAAGCCATAAAGCCATGCGATTGCATTTGTCCCTAACTATCAAAAAGTTAGCGTTCATCCTCCAGCTTCACTGTGTTTATGCTATGCTAACATAGCTGTGTTGCTAGCGATCATGTAGCACATCATTATATACCAGCTAGCCCAACTTCAGTAAAACAACAAAAGCCACTGCTGTTTAATTTTCTGTCTTCATTTATGTTGGAAGTGATAGCAGAGCTGTACGTTTGAATTTTTCAGAAATCTCTCCGTCAGAACATGCTATGTCATGTTTAGATGGAAGCTAGCAAGCTAACTTCCTGCTAACTTCTAACTCTGTTAAATGTAATAAATTCTGTTTTCATGGATGCCTGGATGTTAAACTTAGATGTTACACCTGGTAGAGATGTAACATTTTATTAAAGATGAAAGAATTTAGACAGTTTTTAACTCTCAGTGATGCCGCGGTGTTCGTTTGACTTTGGGACCTGCAGCTAATGACGTCAGACTTAAAGACCGGATTGGTTCGTTGGACATTTTCTCAGCAGTCTCATAAATCAAAACAAAATCAATATTGCAGGTTTGGTCATAAGTCCTACATCTTCCACCAGGGTGCTTCTTTTTTTAAGTTTTCATGTTCTCGGGTAATTCGGTAAGAAATCAGCTCCAGTCCCTCCTCTTTGATGTCTCCTCTCTCTTCTCTTCCCCTTCGGTTCAGGATCCAGTGGATTTAAAGCACGAGGCAAGATGTTTGAAGTGAAATCCACCTCTGGGAAGCTCCTGTTCTCCGCCGATGAGCAGGAGGTGGTGGTGGGCGCAGACCGGCTCCGAGTGATGGGTGAGTAGCCGCCTTCAAAAGCCTTGAATACTCGGTTAGGATCTAAAGTGGGGAAAAAGGCTGATGTGAGTGAGTGCGTGGCCTTTTGTTTTATAGGTGCGGCTCTTGTTGCGATGTTGCTAATAAGGAGTTAAAACTGCTGTTTGGTGGTGGACTCACTTTTGGGAGGGTCAAAAGCTTTAACTTGAGAGTCTAAGGACTTTTATTGTGGCCTTTTTAGGGGTTATCTTAGTAGTAACCGCTTTAGCTAAGATATACTACTTTCTTTCACACACAGAGAGAAACACACTGAGACGCACACATGCGTTTGTATCCGAGCTGATGTAATGTGTCAAACTGACATACAGTAAATGCAAAGCAGAGTAATGTAATGCTTATATTAGCATCATAAGCAGTCGATAGCGAGAAGAGCAAGGCTCAGATCTCTGCTGGTTGTAGTCGTGTATGCCAGGAGTAAGATGACAACTAAAAAGAACAAGCAAAAAGGATGAGGAGGATTGTTTTTTTTTCTTTCCAGAGAGAGAAATTCAAGCTAGGTAAGAGAGCGATGTGTTGGGGAGCTCATATTCGCCAACAGGACTCTGGGGGGGAAACAGGCTGACATGTTAGTGCTTTAGACAAATGAGTTTTGTGCTTATGACGGGAGATAAGAAGTGACAGAGTTGTTCTGACTGCCGCGGCCAGCCGGCCTGCGAGTGACGCCGCCGCGACAAATGATTTCCTGTGAGAGCAGAGGGGTGTAACAGAGGATAGTGACGACAAAATTAGCTCACAGACAACATCATGAATACAAGCATAAACAAAGCATCTGCATACAATTAACGCTCCAACAGAGAGGATCATCCCAGAGTCTGCCTGCAGGAAGCGGCAGATTTAAGCTTAATGTTGACGGCCCTTTCTCATAAGGTCACGTCACAAGACTGGAGCTTTGACTTAAACAGAGACTCTGTTTGACACGGATGCCCCACCTGAGGGTCGTTAATGAGCTGAGGGTGAAACTGTGTTTTTAGAGCTGCAAAAATGGGATTTTGATTTATGGTGACAGTGAATGAAACCTGCGAGGTCGTGCTTTTCCCCTGGAGCCGAGGATGGTTTTCCAGAACATACATTTAACTGCATTCACTCTCTTCATCAAATCTGATGGGGG